TGGCGGTGTGTCCACTCACAGGATGAGTGACGCTGCCCAATAAACTCGCCCCTCGGGGCAAAGTTTAAAATTTAGGTACAAGAATGTCCCTAAATTTAGGACCTCGGTTCTCTGTAGTCACTGATAGGAATGTACTGATAGGTAAGCACGAATCGTATGGAATAGAATAAACATAGAGGAAACTTCCTTCCCATTTACCCCTCCCTTCATCCCCCCTACCCTTGTCCCTCTCCGCCCCTCACGCCTCATCACCGAAGGTCTTATTTTGCATAGTGGTTAACCAAAGTGGAGAGAGAGAGAGAGAGAGAGAGAGAGAGAGAGAGAGAGAGAGAGAGAGAGAGAGAGAGAGAGAGAGAGAGAGAGAGAGAGAGAGAGAGAGAGAGAGAGAGAGAGAGAGAGAGAGAGAGAGAGAGAGAGAGAGAGAGAGAGAGAGAGAGAGAGAGAGAGAGAGAGAGAGAGAGAGAGAGAGAGAGAGAGAGAGAGAGAGAGAGAGAGAGAGAGAGAGAGAGAGAGAGAGAGAGAGAGAGAGAGAGAGAGAGAGAGAGAGAGAGAGAGAGAGAGAGAGAGAGAGAGAGAGAGAGAGAGAGAGAGAGAGAGAGAGAGAGAGAGAGAGAGAGAGAGAGAGAGAGAGAGAGAGAGAGTTCCGTCACAGATTGCCAGAGTCGTTATACCTGTATTTACCCGAGGGTCACCCTATCTCTCTAGTGGTCTGTAGATTACAATACACTGAGGACCAGCCAGCAAGAGGGCGAGACTAGTGAGGGAGGGAGCGGGAGGGTGAGTGAGCCGCTGACGGGGTGGTGACAGTGAGCTATGACCAGGTAATGGTGTAGAACCTGTGGTCACACCCACCCGCCGGGTCCAGTGGTGACCCCCACCCGCCGGGTCCAGTGGTCACACCCACCCGCCGGGTCCAGTGGTGACCCCCACCCGCCGGGTCCAGTGGTCACACCCACCCGCCGGGTCCAGTGGTGACCCCCACCCGCCGGGTCCAGTGGTGACACCCACCCGCCGGGTCCAGTGGTGACACCCACCCGCAGGGTCCAGTGGTCACACCCACCCGCCGGGTCCAGTGGTCACCCCCACCCACCCGCCGGGTCCAGTGGTCACACCCACCCGCCGGGTCCAGTGGTCACACCCACCCGCCGGGTCCAGTGGTGACACCCACCCGCCGGGTCCAGTGGTCACACCCACCCGCCGGGTCCAGTGGTGACACCCACCCGCCGGGTCCAGTGGTCACACCCACCCGCCGGGTCCAGTGGTCACACCCACCCGCCGGGTCCAGTTGTCACACCCACCCGCCGGGTCCAGTGGTCACACCCACCCGCCGGGTCCAGTTGTCACACCCACCCGCCGGGTCCAGTGGTCACACCCACCCGCCGGGTTGGATTCTTCTGTCGATGACTGGATGACGAGTTGCCAATTTAGCAGTTTCGTCGGCTTTCTGTTGGTCGATCTCGAACCCATTGTTGATGTGACGACTTATATTGAATTTTGTAACTAGCTCATCAAGATTGTAACTTGCTTAGCTAAATGAATTGTGGGGTTCAGTCCCTGAGCCCATTATGTATGTGCCTCTGTAACCCTTTCCACTACCGCCCACAAGATGGGTATAGGGTGCATAATAAATGAACTAAACTAACTAAAAACTTTCTGTTTTAATGGGATTCCAACGTGGAATGGGATCCCGTTTAGGGTGATGTTGAGTCCTTCACCTTTAGCTACTGCTCCTAGATACTATATTGTGGTAATTATGTCCACCTTGTCTTTCGACTGTTTTTTTCCTAATATTTGAAGTGCAGCTTTTGAGTCTGTATGTATGATTGCATTCTGAGTGTTTTGTGCAATTACATATGTGAATGCCTGTCCGTGCAGAGAGCAGCGCCAGCACTCTCATATTCTGTGTCCACCGAGCCGTCGGTGAAGATGTGGGTGGCTCCTGCTACTGCAATGCTGCTCATTTGCTTTTCTATGATGCGCCTTGGGACTGTTTTATCATAGGCAGCTCTTTTCATCGGCGGACCTTATATTACTCTTTGGGAGGTAGGCTCCTCCCACGGTGGGGAACCACACAGTGGGTGTGGTCTTATTTATTTATTTATTTATTTATTTATTTATATACAAGAAGGTACATTGGGGGTGTTGACCAGACCACACACTAGAAGTTGAAGGGACGACGACGTTTCGGCCCGTCCTGGACCATTCTCAAGTCGATTGTGATGAGGACAGGTAGGGACAGGCAATAAATAGGCAAGAGAGAGCTGAGGAGGAAAGTAAGGTGTAGGGGATAGTAGTAATGAGAACTGCAGAAGGCCTATTGGCCCATACGAGGCAGCTCCTATTATAACCACCGAAGGAGATAGTAATAGGAATAAGAAGAGGATAGCAAGGGAGCGTAGGAGAAGACAATGAACAGAAAAAGGGAGAAGAGAGAAAAAAAAAGGAAAGAGAAAAAGAAAGAAAATGGAAGGGGTAAGCTTATGTTAAGTCACGTTTGTTAGAAAGATTAGAGCATTTGAGTATATACTGTGAAAGGGAAGAGTCCACAGCAACAAAGCCAGGACTCAAGTTCATGTTGGGTACATTGTGTAAGTTGATTTAACATTCTTGTGACGCCACTAGCACGCATAACGTTTCGGGCAAAAAACGCTATGAATATCTGGGAGTAAGCGTGTCGGTAGACCTTTCTTATAAAGAACACAACAAAGTAGCTGTCAGAACCTTTCGTACAATGATCACTGGTGGAGCCCACCCGCTGGGCTCCACCCACTGGGCTCCACCCGCTGGGCTCCACCCGCTGACCTTTCCTACAATGATGGAGGTGATCAAGGAGGTTGATCACCTCCTCTATCCAGAGTCATGCTTTTTAATTGTAGTCTGTTAAGGACTTCTGCTCTGGCAGCCCAAGAGTTTCTGTTGTTTTGGCCAAGTTCAACCACCAAGGCCAGCCTTACTGGGACTGGATCAGGGGAAATAATTATTTTACTGATAATCGTAGCTGTTCTGTGATACATTGTTTCTTGAAGAGAGGGCAAACCCGTTTCCAGTCTTATAGTTTCAAGTCTGGTCCACATCGGGGCTCCCAGAGCAGCTCTCGTAGCATTATTTTGGTCAACTTCAAGCTCTCTCAGTGTTGATGTGATAGGCTTGTGAGTGCAGGCACGGCATAGTCGGTCACTGATCTGACTGCCTGTACAGACACCGTAATTTCCATACAAACACCGTAATTGTCCCGGTTCATGATGAATCTTTTTCACCTTGAGGGGTACAATTTCGACGTCTATTTTCTGTACTTTCCAGGGAGCAGACATATTACACTGTCGAGAGGGTTTACAGCAGTCAAGTACGTCGTATTCCCTGAGGTCATGAGCTAATCCCCTCGTGTAGCGTGTCTCCCTCAGTTTCCTGGAAGTGTGTACGTCACTCAAGCAGGTCTGAACGCTCTCAAACAGCTTATCCCCTCCTTTTCTCCGCATGAAACGAATAGCTACTCTAGTGTTAATGTCACGGACTCTATCACACACATTCTGTAAATTTAATTCCATTCTCATTATTTCAATCATTGCATTTCTTTGACATCCAAGAATAATCCTCATAGCCTCGTTCTGTATCAGCTCTATTTTCTTAATTCTGCCTTGGCCTGTGTAAGACAAAACGGGTGCTGCGTAGTCTATCAGGGACCGAACAGTGCTTATGTATAACATCCGCATGATAGGTACCCCAACACCTTTACCAGAAAAAGCCAGTGCTTTCAGAGGATGCAGACGGGCTTTACATAAGGTGCTGATATGATTTATTTCAGCATTTTTACTCTCGCATGTGTATCCAACATACATGCCCAGATACTTGTACTTCTGAACACAGCTCAGTTCCACACCATTTAGAGTAAGTGTTATATTTCTTCGTTTCCTACACTCATATTTGGTTTTATCTGCATTTATAACTAAGCCTAAGATGTGACAGGTTGTACCAAGTATGTTAAGAGCAGAGTGAATTTTGTTCCCAGAAGTGCCTTGTATAAGAATGTCATCAGCATATATGATCGTCGTGACCCCTGGAGGATACATCTCTGATGCTAATCTGTTCATTAATACATTGAATAAGGTGGGACTTAATACTCCCCCTTGTGGGGTACCTAACTGAAACCTCCGTTCCTCAGACATGTATCCCTGGTAATACACCTGACCTTTTCTGCCTTGTAGATAATCCCTTATCCAGTGTAGCAATCTCCCTGTTATTCCCAGATTGGCTAATTCGTATAAGATTACTTCCCCATTGGCTTTATCAAATGCTCCTTGTAGATCAACAAAAACTCTACAATTGTCATCCACATTAGACAAACACTTTAAGAGACAATCCGCAGTACTTTTGCCTTTGATAAAACCAAAGAGATTACTGGACATGTTATCACCTACAAGGTAGAGTAGCCTATGTAACAAAATCCTTTCCATCATTTTACAAAAGAAGGATATTAAGGAGACAGCCTCCGTTTGACTTAGGGATAGGAATGATGACAGCCTCTTTCCATTTTCTTGGTAACTTTCCCTCTCTATAACTCATATTAAACAAATCAAGTAAGGGACAAGGTTTCATACCGGCTAAATAATTAAGAATGTCATACGTTACTCTATCTTTTCCCGGAGCAGTAGAGCTGCCACTTTTTATAGCATCCAGTAGCTCATCGTGAGTTATCTCAGTGCATGTTATAGATCTTGTATTTTAGTAAGGGTTAGTAATTTGACCCTTGGGGAATGACCTTGATATAAGCCTAACATTTATATACACACTGGCTGCCTGTCCCCCCGACACAATGTATTATTATTATGAATTATAATAAAGCTGTGTAGAAGTAACCAAGATCGATCGCTGCCTCAATTGAGACCTCCGAGTAAATTCTAATTACCACAAATATAAAATATAATACAATTATAGAGATTTAAATAAGAAAATATTTACATTTGAAAATTTTGAATAATTTGGAGAGGGAGTAATAAAGATATAGAGTTGAGGTAATAAAGACGGTGAGTTGAGTTATCAGTTGCCAGCAGCTGGTCCGGGAAGATGGCCGCCTCGCTCGCCTCCCTCGCCCGCAGGACTATCGTCACCACCGTCCGTAACGCCGCCTCTGGGGGCGCGGCAGGACACGCACACGATGGTAAATGGGTCCTGTAACGTGACTGTTGAGTCAGCCGGCCTACTGGGTGTTGGGGCCGGCTGGAGCGGCAGTCCGGCCGGCTGACCGGCTGCCTGGGTCTAGGCCTCCCCCCTGCTTTAGGCCCAGTGTCGTCCAGGGAGCTTCCTGGGAGTACTGAGAATACCTCACTGGTTTGACACGGCGCAGGTTATGTATTATTATCACACGATAACATTAGTTATGGTGGAGTGAGGTGAGGCACCGTGAGCACCCTAGACACTAGGCACTGGTATGGGGTCCCGTAATGCCTACGCGCCCACCCTCAAGTGGTATAGTTTTGCCATAAACTTTAATATTCTAATATATTACATTGTACACCCACCCTTTACATTACACTTTGTGCATTATACATCTTGAAGTGTGTCTTTGGTTGTCGTGTTTTATAATGATGTACAGTGAGTTGTCGCCTGTACCAGGTAATGTAAAAAATTATCCTTCTCGTAAAAAATGTGCAAGTGTTAAGTCGTACGTTGGTGTGTCGTGCATAACTATTCCTAAATTTTGTTGCGTTAGGTTCGGTTCGTTTTAATTAATATAAAATGTTGTGCACAAAATTACCAGACATTAACAAAGGTTAATTAGAGGTACATACAGTAAAATGTCTGATAGTATTTTGGAACTAGCTTTACAAATGCCTGGAACATTGTGGGTTACGTTACCCGTTAACCATCGGGCAATTTATACATGAAGTAACTAGTAGCTCCAATTAATTTACTAATTTTTTTTATTTATATATACAAGAATTCCTACATTCTTGTATAGCCACTAATACGCGTAGCATTTCGGGCAAGTCCTTAATCCTATATTCCCTGGAATACGACCCCCACAAAGAATCGTTTTTACAACCAAATATCCATTTTACTGTTGTTAAACAGAGGCTACAGTTAAGGATTGACGCCCAGTAAATCCTCCCCGGCCATGATACGAACCCAAGACAAAAAGCTTGCGAAATGCCAGGCGAGTGTCTTACCACTACGTCACGAAGACTGTGGTGTAGGAATTAAAAAATGACGGGTTATTGTAAAATTGCTAATACAGCACCTCGGACATTTTTTTTTTTAATTAGTGATGCATAGCATATGCAGACTAGATTCCATTATCATTTTGAAATTCACTTAGTTTATTCTTGCCATAGCCCAGGGAGCCGGTCGGCCGAGCGGACAGCACGCTGGACTTGTGATCCTGTGGTCCCGGGTTCGATCCCAGGCGCCGGCGAGAAACAATGGGCAAAGTTTCTTTCACCCTATGCCCCTGTTACCTAGCAGTAAAATAGGTACCTGGGTGTTAGTCAGCTGTCACGGGCTGCTTCCTGGGGGTGGAGGCCTGGTCGAGGACCGGGCCGCGGGGACACTAAAGCCCCGAAATCATCTCAAGATATCTCAAGATATATCAGGGGCCAGATTCACAAAGCAGCTACGTATGTACTTACGAATGTTTTTCTTGGCACCTTCGTAGTGGCTACATCGGTATTCAGGTACTCATTAAAGAAGGAAAATCTTCGTAAGTATACTGCCTCGATTAAAGGACGGCCTCGACCACTCGTAGCTTTACGTAAACTGGATATAGCTCGATTTTTCTCTACTACACAATACGGAGGATCAATTTTCTTATAAACAAAACTTTTTAGCTGGCGAGTTTCAAGACAGTCCTTCGTGTTAACTATATATGCATTCTCTCTGCTTGAAATGTCTTTTATGATGTAGTAAATATGAAACTCGCGGTTCAGGGGGTAGGTGGCCCCTCCATGCGGGTTGACACCCAAATGTGTATTATGCTTTATCACCTTAATTCTCGTGCTACGTCGCTCGTTTTACAGGTGTGTATAAATATAATGTCCAAAAGCCTAGCGTGACTCCCAACAGCAAAGCGTAAAGTCGGCAAAAACGCACAAAATCAGTAACATGTGCAGTTCCATTTTTTACCTTAATTCTCGTATATCATTGTGTTCGCAATTAAATTCCCTACAGATGTGTATGAATAGTTTTATAATAGCAAGATATTATACCAGTAGTTAAGTAAATAAACACTGGTGAACATGAAATATGAGAGGTGATGAACCTGGGCTAATGGGAGCATTTCTATTGCCAAATGCCCCTGTTCACCTAATAATAAGTAAAACTAGGGGGTGTACCTAAGCTATACATACCCATTTTTAAATTATTTTGTTTGGTTTATTTTGAAATTAAATTTGGGCGAGACAAAAGAAAAATATGCTGCACAAATTATTAGGTAAGAAGGGTAAAAACTTCAAAATTCTCGTTGAATACTTAAACCTGTAGTTATGAATGTATGGACTATTATGGCATGTTAAAAAAGAGAGGGGCAAGTAGGGGTCCAAGACCTCTTCCTGTTACACAATTTGGCTGTGTAACAAGAAGTAATTATCAAAAGAAGGCATCAAGCCGGGAAGGCTACGTAGCAGCATTGTGTGTAATGATAATCCAAATTTCTTGTAACAAATAATGCACCTGTGAGAAAAACAAATCCTGTCAGATGTAAAAATATTGATCCAGTTATTTAAATACAAAAATATAATTAAACAAATATTTATGGGTTTATCCTATTTCTTCTAATGTATATCCAAAGAAGTGAAAAATTGAGACAGTGCACAATTTAATGATTCACAAGAATTGTTAACATTTGTTGTTAATGCGAGATCTTGATGCAAGATCAATGCGAGATCTTAATGATCCATGGTTAACACTTATGATTTAGTAAGGATAATACTGGTAATAATAATAATACAGTACAAGCTAAAATTTAAAACCTTTATTATTGATTTCTTTTTATTAACAAGCTTACGGTAGCACACAGCAATGTGCTTCTACCCTATTCTATATGAAAGATTACAGTGTAGATCATAAACTGGTTACAAGCTCGTCCCACATTCTCACTTCATAGGACGGCCAGTCATACATGGAATCAGGAGAGAATAAGGAATGTAAGGCTGATCTATTGGCCTCCACTGGCAAAATCTGGGTACAGCACAAGAATATCTTCCAATATTCCTGAGTGTAGGAAGCAATCGCAGAGCTCAAAGTACCTCATACCATTTGGTCTGAAGTCACTGATAACAGGGCAATCACAGATAGTGTTAGTGTCCTCTCAAGTAGGACTGAAAACATTTTTTTTTTCACCCAGAGGGTTATAAACCCATGGAACCTGGGAGAAAATAAACAGTGAACTTACAAACATACAATGGGAAAATGTTCTAAGAAATAAAAATCCTACACAAGGAATAGAAAAACTGACTTCTGAAGCATATGAAGTCTGAAACATGTTCTTTTGAGGAAACCAGAAAGAGGTCCAATGTAGAAAGAGAATGCAGACGACATTACAAAAGTAAGAAATTAATGGATATGCTTAAGCAGAAACGACTTTCCTTACAACGAAGGAATAATTTAAACAGGGAGATTGAAGAAATCGAACAGAGACTGAAGCATTCGTATCAAACTGAGAAAAGGCAACTAGAACAGAAAGCAATTAAAGAAATAAAAAACCCAAAATATTTCTTCACATATGCTAAATCAAAAGCAAAAACTACTGCCAGTATTGGACCTATTCGTATTATTGAAGGTTCATACACCGAGGATGACAGAAATTAGCAAAATCCTAAAAAAGCGGTATGAGGACGTGTTTAGCACTCCGATGCACAACATGAAAGTGGAAGATCCGGACAGCTTCTTTATGCTTAATATCCAAACCCCAGTAAATATAACCGATATCAACACGAGCATAGCAGATTTTGAAAGAGAAATTGACAATATGCCCATGCACTCAGCCCCGGGTCCAGACTCATGGAATTCAATATTTATAAAGAAATGCAAAGTGCCAGTAGCACAGACACTCGGTATAGTGTGGAGGAAGAGCTTGGACACGGGAGATACCAGATGCGCTTAAAGCAGCAAACATAGCCCCTTTATACAAGGGACGGAGCAAAGCATTAGCAAAGAATTATAGACCAGTTGCACTAATGTCCCACATAATAAAAGTATTTGAGAGTGATCAGGAGTCAGGTCACTAGTTTCATGGAGACCAATGACCTCCACAATCCAGGACAACATGGATTTAGAGTGGGAAGATCATGCCTGTCACAGCTATTTGACCATTACGACAAAATTACTGAGGCATTAGAAGAAAAACAGAATGCAGATGTTGTATACACAGACTTTGCAAAGGCATTTGACAAATGTGACCATGGAGTGATATCACACAAAATAGGTCAATGGGAATAACTGGTAAAGTAGGATGCTAGATACTCAATTTCCTGTCGAACAGAACACAGTAACAGTCAATCAAATAAAATAAGAGTTCAAGGGCACTTAAAAGCTCTTTACCTCAAGGTACAGTCCTTGCACCACTGCTGTTCCTAATTCTCATATCGGATATAGACAAAAATACAAGTCACGGCTTCATGTCATCCTATGCAGATGACATAAAAATCAGCATGAAAATTACATCTGCTGAAGACATTGAAAACCTACAAGCAGATATTAACAAAGTTTTTGATTGGGCAGCAGAAAATAACCTGATGTTTTATAGTGATAAATTCCAGGTACTCAGGTACAGCAAAAATGAGGATCTGAAACATAATACAGAGTACAAAACACAATTGAATCTGCCCATAGTAGGAAAACAGCATGTCAAGGATTTGGGAATAATGATGTCCAACGACCTAACGTTTAAGGAATATAACCAAGCAAATATTGCGTCGGCCAGAAAAATGATAGGATGGATTACGATAACCTTCGGATCCAGGGATCCCATCACAATGGTTGTACTCTTCAAGTCACTTGTGTTGTCCTGTCTTGAGTACTGCTCAGTACTCGCTTCCCCCTTCAGAGCAGGAGAAATTGCTTAAATAAGAAGGAATGCAGAGAACACAAACGGCACTCATAGATGCGATAAAACGCCTAAATTATTGGGATCGTCTCAAAGCTCTCCAAATGCACTCGCTAGAAAGGAGACGAGAGAGAGATACCAAATAATACACACATGGAAAATACTGGAGGGCCAGGTCCCAAATCTACACGGTAAAATAACAACGTACTGTACTGGAGTGAAGGATATGGAAGAAAAGGCAGAATCGAACCAGTGAAGAGCAGATGTGCCATAGGCACAATCAGAGAACACTATAAACATCAGAGGTCCGCGGTTGTTCAACGTTCTACCAGCGACTATAAGAAATATTGCCGGAACGACCATGGACATCTTCAAAAGAGAACTAGACTGTTTTCTAAAAAAAAGTGCCGGACCAACCGGGCTGTGGTGGGTACGTGGGCCTGCGGGCCGCTCCAAACTGGAGCCTGGTGTACCAAACTCAAGTCAAGCCTGGCCTCGTTCTTAGCCAGTACTTGGGGAACCTTCATAGCACACATACTTACTAAGAAATACATGGAGCTTCACGAATCTAGGTCCAGTTCTTTAACTCCTAAACTGCGCAAAACTTCATACGAGTGTAACTTGAAAAACAAGAAAAAAAAAAAAATTTAAAATTGAATATTGAAAAAATCATATTTTGAAATTGCTGCAAAAATATAAAATATCTCCTATTGTTCATTTGGTGGCGTTATGCTCTCAGAATAGCATATAATCATTTTCATATATTTAGAATATAGCTTTTCAGTACAGTATAGTTTACTGTAATTTTTTTTGTCAATATGGTATTAGAAATATGCACAAATTTAGACAACAAAAAATTTGTAACTCCAAACATTTAGTTTATGAAAAATCAATTCTATAGTGATTGTAGAACACAGCTGTGCACACTACATGTAAAAATTAGTGAGAATCGGTCAGAAACTAGATTTTTGGATACTGAAGTAAGTTGAAATTCCAATTATAGATATAATTGAAGTTGAAGTTATCGACAATGAATAAGGCAGTTCTAATTCATGAATTTACTTGTATGTTTTAATAAACATTGTTTGGCATGCATACTCGAATATGTGAAAGTTGTAGGTCAATGTGTTGAAATGAAGTAAAGAAAAAATAACCCCCAAAAACAAATATAGGAATAATTACTATAATTATAATGATTTAGAGGATATATTTAGGGTATAGTTTATATAAGTAAAAAAAAGCCCTAATCTGGTCCCTAATCATCAAAACCTAAGTAAAGAAAATAGTTTAGTTTGAAATCTGTGAAAATGTCAGCCACAAAAAATTCAGTCTCAAGTTCTGAGAGTTGACTGATTTATTTGTTGACCAATTTATTTGTCTTCACATAGTTAGGGACGAGTATGCACTCTCCAGGATGTGAAGGTAACAACAAATTCAAATAATAAACAAAGGAGGAAAAACTAAATATCTAAAAAAAAAAAAAAAAAAAAAAAAAAAAAAAAAAAAAACATAGTTGAAAATAACTGATAATAATATTGGGCAATGTATTTATATGATATATAGCAAAATAGAGCATAATAACATGCTCATTATTATTTGATATGTATTACTCAGCAATGCTATAAAGGCACCAGTTGCGTATCCACTTTGTGGACACTTCTTGCTACCATTCTTCTTTGTGCGTCGGACAGGTGCTTGCATCGCATTATCCATCAGATCCAGTTAATAAGAGCAGTGTTCCTTGTCAAAAAACATTTTTTTCTAAATATTCGTCTAAAATAAATTTCTGAGAATATATATAGTTTCACGATGCTGAAGCTGAAGATTTGTTTAACATTTTTAAGTAATTTTTACATAATTCGAATATTTTTCGAATTATGTTCCCTTATGCTGAGCAGTTAAGGGTTAATGAATACCGAGATCTAATACAAGAATACATTTCATTTTCTCACTGTTGGATACCTGGGACACTGCTACAGTGTCACAATTAGCTTGTGGGTCTCGTGGAGTGAAGAAATTGGGGAAGAGTTTGTGTTCGTTGGGCTACGATCAGTGTACATTGGTCCTTTATTTGTCGTTAAATTAACAAAAATAATGAGTTATGGTGTATCACTTGATGCTGACTGACCTGGGAAATTGAAAAATTATCTATTGTAGTTGCAGTAACTTATATTTATTTATTTTTTCAAATTTTGAAGAAATGAATACATTGAGTATTGAACTGTAGGCATGTTTCAGGTTTTCTCAAAGAAATCCAATTGCTGAAGATAATTTTTAAGTTTCGTGCATATGGTAAAGTATTAAAATGTAAATGGTAATGTGTAAATGTGGCACCAACCAGAGATCACTTTGGTAAACAATCTCACATGAAAAGATAATTGCTCTGCTTGTAAGAATTTTCAATGATTTTAAAATTACCTGCATGAAAAGTATTTTTTTTTTTTTTAACAGTAACACAGACCAATTATATGTGCACATTTTATTTTTGTTGGAAAAATAAATGGTATATTGAGCAATGTTGAAATGTTCATAATTTCATATGTTCAACAGTTGTGTATATTATCAATTCAAGTTTTATTTTGCATCCACTCAAGCAAATTTATTTGCAATAATATAAAACCAAATTTATGGTAGTACAGTAACCCAAAAACAGAGAATTTGAGCAGGACCCATATATTCCTGGACGTTTGTGGTCGGAACATTAGTGTTAAGACTATTTAAACATTGCTTTGAAATGAGTGGCCATTTAATTCTGAAGTGTTTTGACAGGTGGAACTAAGCAGTGGAAGATGGTGTCCCTTCTAGTTGCTTTACCTGCTATTGGACTGTGTATGGCAAATGCATTCCTTGGTACAGAGCATGAACACAGGCCAGAATTCATCCCCTATGAACACTTGCGTATTCGCACAAAGGTGAGATAATTAATGGGCAAATGTCAACCTAAGTAAATTTTTTTGTATTATTTATTATTACTACTACTACTACATAGAAGCACTAAATCCAACACATTTTTTCTGGCTCCTTCCTTGTCATTTAAGTTGAAATATTAACAAATTCTCTACAGTGTGTTAATGTTTATTTTTTTATTTTTTATACAGTACTCTTGCCATCTTAATGCTTGAGGTGCATATATAGTTACTGTCATTGGGAGAATGATTATCAACTTCTAAGCAGACATTGCTTACAGATAGTGGCCAGACATGATTAATGGATACTTATCTAGTTGTATTGATGATCTACTGTGCCAAAAGCAGAATTGATGGTAGTTTTGAAGCCAAAGATAGATGTGTGGTAAATACAAGTACGGTGTAATGATCTTTCATTTATCCAGAGTAATTGGAACTTTACAGTGTGTTTTATCCTGAGATCTGCATATTTCAGAGATTTTTTGTTTATTTTTTGGCCAGATGTATATGGGCACAAGCAATTCTACCTGTGGCAGAAAACCAGCATACTTTCCCTTTGTGTCAACAAGACATCTTTGGGAAACCTAAAATGCAAAAATTTTCTGGAATTTTTATGGGCACTTGCTGTTGAAACTAGAATGTCATGCTAACTCATGCACTTCCATACAGAATGTTCTTATTTTCAAGATCTGAAATTTTTTCTTGCTGTACAGTACCTGTATTCCCTGTTCCTCTTTGAAATGTGTGGTATGTCTGACTTCACTTTACTCATCTTGTGTGTTTGCTCTTGTATTGGCATCCTGAATGATACCCAGGAACTTTAAATGTTTTGATGTGTAATCTTCTGCACTTTGATGTTTTTGATAATTACTTGAATTTAGTACTGTATTCGTGAAGGAATTTCACAAATTGCTTGCCTATTGGTTCCTATGAAGGAGCGAGATGTAGCACTTCATGCCCCCATCTCCTGACCGTTTATATCTTGTGTGCTAATTACATCTCTCAACATGGAAAAAAGGAATACGATAAACTTTATTAACGTTGTGGATGTAATTGAATTCGACAATCTCTTCAATGCATTCATTTGTCTACCACCTGTACAGTGAACAAGAACTTCCTTATGTCTTGAAGTTTATTGCATATCAAGCTTCTACCAGTGTCTCCTTGTTACATTTCTTTAATTTAAATAGGCTTCATTTACCCACTTTATCTATTACCCTCAAGATCTAGTATGTAGTTTCATCAATTTATCAAGCCAATGTTGCTTCTGTTCTCTAAGGTTGTGAGGATGAGGTCTTGCAACCTGTCATCATAATACCAGAATTGAGTGGCCTAAATTAACTAGTTGCAAACCTCTAAAGTTTGCTTCACTAGGTGTGAGATTCATGCTGGAGCTACTTATGAGTAAGGTCTTGCATAGGGTATATGAACTTGAGTCTCTTTGTTTAGATTCTTAAATGACTCGTGTTTGCTGTTAAAATAGTTAATACTATTTTGAGGGGGTAATAATCTGTGTCCATTGCATTGCTCGGATGGATTTGTTATAATACTGTATTTTGCTTATTTTTTTGTGTATATGCCACCTCGGGCAGATAAGGGGCCTATACAGTATGTACAGAGGAATTTCCATTTGCTACTTTGCTCTATAGTATTTTAGGGTGTTCTTATCTTGGGGTTAACTTTACTCTCTTTGTATTTCCTCATTGTGGTACAGAAATTTTTGCTCTGATTTTTGTACAGGTTTGCTTTTTTCTTCTACACATTTTTGCTCCTTGAGTAATTGTTACCTTTCTACTTTTGTACTCTCATTCCAAGTTAGATCATGATTTGTGATCCAAAAAATGAGATTGTGATGGCTCCAATTAGTTAATTTGTGAAAATTAGGTAAAGCTCATATTTCCTCCTAGTTGGCTCCACTATCTGCTAGTTTCGTTGTATACCATTAGTTTGTTAGTTCTCAGGTGTGGGCTGGTTGATCTAGGTTACTTCCTGAAATATTTTTCTAGTATATTTTCTTCCACTACTTCAACCTTGGAAGGTTGAAGTCGTCTACAAAAATCACATTCGGCACTGGGTTTTCTAGGCAGTTTTCGATGTTTTATCTACTCTGCAAATTTTGACTTGGAGGGGGAAGGGGGCGGGTTCCTTGTCTTGCCACATGATATACGGAACTTTACCAATGTACAGGTGGTAAAGTCAACATGGACCTCCTATTCCATGTCTTTACTTTCATATATGTGTAACATTGTAATCCGGGATACAAAATTTGCTGTTCATATAATCTATAGTAGTGTTTTCTGTGAATTTTCCAAATACACTAAAATTGCTTACCTGTTGCAATGTGAGGCCATTAATTAAAGCCCATTTTCTTTCTAGGTTATTTGATTGGCAAGAATTTAACAAATGCACTTTTAATTAATTTGAATGGTAACATTTTAGAAAGTCTTTTTGCCCGAGTTAGTTCTAAAGTGCAAGAGTTTACTTTTTTGTCTAATAATGGTAGTTGCTGATGTGTTAAGAGGTCTATTATGTTTTGGTATATTGTTCATAAACAACTTAGTTCCATATCTATATTTACCTATTTCTGAATCTATACTAATTTAGTTTGTATTATTGTTTTGCATTTATTTCATAATTACAATGTGTATTTAACATTATTTCCCCTTTAATCTGTTGCTATAATATTCTCTTATTCTTCACCTTTAATCTGTTGGTAAAGGTGGTTTCCAATTCCTGGGATTAAGTTTATCATCCTTTGACCATGTTAAAGTGAATTGATCCAGTCTATAATAGTGACTAAAAAACTGAACTGCATAATCTGCCTGTATGTATAAACTGGCATCCTGTCTACAGGATCGCCGTCATCGCTACTGTCTCCGCTACCGTGTGCGGTTCCTGCAAACACCCTCACTCGCTTATGCCGTTCTTTGACCTTTACCCCTGCCATGGTCCCTGTCCCCTTGCACTACCTACCTCTTTCTGTACGGTTGTCTTGCTTGCAAGGTTTATTTCAGTTCGTGTTACCAACATTTCTTGTCGTTCCATCCTTGCCCCCATGGAGGATCCCCCTTTCCTAAGTTTTGTATAACCTTGACCAACGTGACTAAAATTTTTACAACCCCTTCAGTTCTGAAATGCCTTTTCCTTGCAAGCTTTTCTTCACTTTCCCACTCCATTTCCGTCTTCACAGATGGGTCTAAGTCTGCAGACAGTGTAGGCTACTACTGTTGTTTTTCCTGATCACATCTATGTCACCTGCCTCCAGAGACTAGCATCCTCACAGCAGAACTTTGCTATTTGGTATACTCTTCAACTGCTTTCTCACTGTCAATCTTCCTTTGTTGTTGTAGTCTATTCTTGCAGTGCCCTCGTGGCTCTGGTGTCCTTTAATCCAGTCCATCCTGTGGTAGTCAAAATTCAACATTGACTGTTTCTTATCTCTAGCAGATTTATGAGTTTTGCTGGGTTCCCAGCCTAATTGGTGTCCTTAAATGAGCATGCGGATGCTGCTGCTAAGGAGGCTATCTGCACTTGTCCTATCTCCCGTAAAGGTGTTCCTTATTAAACATGCTAAGAGTACACGTAAAGGTGTACTCTTAGTTTCCCTGTGGCCTTCCTCTTACAACCGTAACCGGCAGAGGGAAACGGCTCTGGCAAGGCTATGTATTAGCCATACACGTTTAACTCGCGTGCACGTAATGGAGTGCTGCCCGGCTCCTTATTGTCCAAACTGCATTGTGTGTGTGACAGTCCTGTATATCCTTATTGAATGTCTGGACTTCAAGGATGTCTTGCTTCTCGACTGTCTCTTGCGGTCACTTGTCCCTCGATAGAATTCTTGGTGAATCGGATACCTTTGATATCATTTGCCTTGTGCCCTTTTGTTCTTGTATTGGCATCCTTAGTGATGTTTCACGCCCTATGAATATCCCGCACATTTGATGGTGCTACATAGCCTTCCCGGCTTTGTGCTTTGTATTGATAATTACTTGTCATAGATTAATCCTTCACAAAGCCTTCAATATTTATTGGTGATGGGCAATTGTTGATTGACAAATATTGGAAAACCTGAACAGTAGAGTACTTGTTCCCTAGTGACAGCATCACCAATATAATTAGACTAAATGCTTAAAAGCATTTAATGTGATGGGCTGCAATTTTTATCATGTACAGTAAACTGGTTTAATTTGATTTCCATAATTATTGTAACGACACAAAACTGATATCCTGATGGATATCGAGGTTTTTATTTATAATATTTTGTGGTTAAAAATAGTAACAGACCTTTCACCCAAAGAATGAGGCTTGAAAAGTACTTTGAAAAGTGTTTAACTACATTCTTTTTAGACACTGCTGCTATTCCTTCCGAACTTTACTTGCATCCCATATTTTTAAAGTTTTGACTTGGGATAGCTTTTGCTGCTGCTGGGGGCTTGGTAGGTGGCTGCCAGATTGTGATGCTCCACGAGTCAGTCCTCTGTCCTTTTGAAGCCTTGTGCTCCTGCTGCTGTCTTCACCAATTGTGCCAGAAATCTTTTTCCTCGTTTCATTTTTCTCCCCCCCCCTCCTCTTCTCCTTTCTAATTGTCATTTCCTGCCAACCTTTTGCTAGTCTTGATTATTCTTTCGGACTTCTTCTGTTTTAACCTTCAGACCGCACATATTACCGTGAATTTAGGGGGCCTAACATAAAAAATATTCAAATTATGTAAAAATAACTAACACTATCACGCTCCCGACAGTACCCTGTGTAACATTCCCCTCGTGTGCCATTCGTTTCGGGCGACCGCGCGGCGACACTGAAATGTGTGTACATTTTTCGGTCTTCTCGTCTTAATTTTCTATGTACAGGTATGTATTTAATTTTAGTATCAATTTGTTTGCAAGAGAATGCTCTAGAGGAATATATCTATAAAATTTCACCGAAGCAGAGTTCTCCGCCTCCACCGAGTTCGATCCCCTATGGAGGTGGAGACAAATGGGCAAAATGTTTTTCAACCTGATGCC